TACTGCTTCTGCTACTTCTCAGTGCATACATTTAATGACTTTCTCCCATTCTCCTGCTGCTCCTTGCTACAAAGCCCTGTTATTTAAACCTTGCCCCAATGAGTTTTGCTGAGGTTGTGAACTGCTTTGCTCTCAGTTGTTGAAACGTCACCCTCAAGCCAGATTGGGTGGTGGACAAGAAGCTGCGAGTACCATCAAGGTAATTATACTTCTGGTGACGTACAATGGTGTTAAAACAGTACTTAGTTTAACTGCTAACTTATGAAACCAAAAATAAACAGGAGAGTTCTGTAAAATAATGGAGTCTTAAATTAGGTAGTGCACGTAAAAATCATGTGGGAAACCGTTTCAGAATTATATCCGTTTGATATCACATCTCTACAGAAAAGGAACATAAAAGTAGATGTGATGGGCAGGTTTATCAAAAATAGCTGGTTGCTAGCAAAAATCACCTTGTGCTTAATGATCTCTGCTAGATACTCTGCTTGCCTTTCATCTGATATGGCAAATCAGTCCTCTTCTCCAACAATAGGCTGATTTAGCAAGAGAACGGGAACGTCATTTGACGACGGCGTGTGCAGTACAAATACCCAAATATGGTCAAATTCCGTGTGCCCTGCAGTTGTCATCTGACCATATTTGGATATTTGTACTGCGCGCGCCGTCATTAAGTGACGTTCCCGTTCTCTTGCTAAATCAGCCTAATAACTTCAAACAACACTTCAAAACTTTGTTACAAATGCAGGGGTTTCATTGATGTTTTCAGCAGGAGGACAACTAGTTTTTATGGGCGGGCAAAACATTTTGAGCTGAACTTCTTTATTAGAAGAACTTTCCCCTAGATGGTCAAACAAGGCAGGTTAAATCATCCTCACAGCCTGGCAGTTTGCCTGGTGCCTGGTTCTTATGAAACCCCTGCAAATAGGAGAGTGGTAACTGGAAATATACATTTTGTACTTCATAATAACAATAAATTATGTAGAGGATGCTTACCATTAAGTAGAATTGGTATATTATTTTATTGTTTGTCCCTATTGGATGTCTGTCTGTCTGTAAGTCTTTCCATTCATTTATGTATTCTTTCATTTATTGTACTAACTTAGAAATTAGTTGCTCATCAGTTGAAGGTGGAAATTCTGATTTTCTCTTGTAGTGTCACCCCTTCTTCCGCTCTATTAACTGGGACGATCTTTATTCTAGAAAAGTGGAGCCCCCATTTAAACCAAACATTGTAAGTATTTCATTCTGTAATCCTATACAGATACATCAAACAAGTTAAAAGTTCAATTTACTGGTTAAAGAACAAAAGAAGTATGTTGCATGTTGTCCAATCAGCTGTTTTTCTTCACAGACCGGAGAGGAGGATGTTAGTCAGTTTGATAGTAAATTTACCAGACAGACACCCGTCGATTCACCGGTGGATTCAATGTTGAGCGAGAGTGCAGATAAAATATTTCAGGTAAAGATGACTATGACATCCTGCTAAGATAAGAGTGCAATGCATCCTTGACGTTACAAACTTGTTCAGAACTTTCCAAAACATGTTTTAGCACATGATTAGTCGAGATTATTGCTACAACTTCTTACTAGAAAAAGCCCTATTTTGTTGTGGACGATTGTAAATACCTTAATAGACCATGGTGTTCCTTAGTGAGGACAACATAATAAGAACAAGTGTAATCATTCTTCTTATGCTCTTGCTTGTAATGAACTCGCCACTTTTTTTTTAGCTTATATGCTGATGCATGTTGATATTCATCACTAGTGAAAATCACGAGAAGAGAGGGATATACAGGGACTGCAGTAAATCTAGCTGGGTATACTGTACCAACATGTTATATATGTCTTTTATTATTTACCAGGGCTTCACATATGTAGCACCTTCAGTTATGGATTCATTAAATAGAGAAATACCCATGTCTCCTTGGAGATACACAAGGTATTAAAACTACATGTATCAGTCAATGTT